CAATCAACCAATCAATCAATCAATCAATCAATCACGACAAGCACCGATGCCCACCAAGCACAACATGGGAAGAAACACAGAGAGAGAGAGAGAGAGAGAGAGAGAGAGAGAGAGAGAGAGAGAGAGAGAGAGAGAGAGAGAGACACGAAAGAAAAATGAGACACCATCAGCGAGTGTTGCTGTGCGGCGGGGTCCACTTGTAGTCCTATAAGATGTGTAGCACGATGAATTCATTCAGGGGTTTTCCGAACGCGCAAACATATTCTCCTGTTCATGAATACGTTCGCTTGAACATGGTTTCCCATACATGGGCGAATATATTATTTTTGTTTGTTTTAATTTTTTCCCCTATATTTTTATTTCAAACTCATGTTTGGCTAAGAATTTAAACGTGTATCTGAGGCAAAAGTTGTTTGTATTCTTATTTTAAATGCCATATATTTATTTGATAAGGGTTTTATTGTTAAGTTCAAAAGTGATGTATAGTCCTTCAAATTATTTTGTGCAGAGCTTGGCTTTTACCTAACTGCACAAAACGATTAAAAACCAAGCTATAAACCAAGCTATACATCGCAGAGCTGGCTTTTACCTATAAACGAGTATTCACCAAATAATTTATAGGACCTGCCCGGGACGGCTGGACTGGCAACTGCACCACCCGGAGTCCCGGCCCATATCCCACAACAACAAAAACTTGAAGAAATAAAACTGTGCCTTTTTTCCATACGTCCCTAGGCTGTTTTTCAGGTGCCCGGGCACCCAACTTATGCCCAGGTACAGGCCCGGCCATGACCCCTGTGCAGGGTTCCAGGCAGCCCCAGCACCAAAAAAAAAAGAAAAAAAAAAAGAAGGGTGTGGAATTGCACTACAATCAACTTTTGGCTAAGGGTCATATTAAAACTACTCACAGAATTGGAGATAAAAAAGAAAATAACAGAGTCACACTAGGGCACCCACCTTTAAACCCCTTTAGCCCCTTTCAAACCAGTTTATAAACCCTCCCCCCCCCCGCCCACACCCACCCCCCCAACAGCCAACTGGCAAAAAAGAGAAATGAGCCGGATTTGGGGTCTTCTGGGAGAGCGCAGAAAAATATAAATAGAAAAACTATTTCTTTTTTTTCCACACGACCGGGTACCCCAGGACGTCACGCCCAGGTATCCGGCAGGGGAGGACTCAGAGCTCAATTACATGTTGATTGACGTGGCTACAAGGAACAAAATCTTATCTTTTTTTCGATTCGTTTAATACGACTTTCTTTTTTTTTTTTTCCGTCCGAGAACTCAATTACAAGTTGATTGACATGACTACATTTCTATTGTCCATAACCGCGTTCACACTTCCGCCGCCAGGCTCCACCATGACCAAGTCCACAAGTTTTAAAAGTGTACACTTGCCGGATGCTTCTCCCATGCGGTCTTGACATACTGTCCGACGGTTCGATCCGTTGCTTAACACAATTCAGAACACAAATACAACGCATCCAGCATTCTCTTTTTAACTTCTCAGCCAAATCTTTTATGTGAAAGTGTCGGTCATTTCAATGCTTCGCATCGAACAGATGACACTTGAAACTACATAGGGAGGGAAGTGTAACCTAGAGATCCCGACAGGATTTATAGAGATCCCTCTCACCTATATCGTTTTCGCTTTTGCTTTCAACGGAAAACTGAAAACAAGACAAGGAAAAGAGTCCTTCCAGAAATCCATTTGAAGTTGAAACAAGAATGCTACAGAAGGAAGTTGAAACAAGAACGGCACAGAAGGATTCAATACATCAATAAAAACACCTTCGGGACATCCCTCAAAATTGGCACGATACAGAAGGGAGTTGGCATGGCGTCGCACATAAATCAGTGAAACTGGAAAGGGAGAAATTATCTCAGAAATATCATTCGGAGATCATATGTTGTTCCTTCAACCTACTTTCATTCCGTCTTCCTTTCTCAAGAAACTACAAGAAGAATATCCAATCTCTTTTCCATTACATAAAAGCAAATGATTTTGTTTGTCAAGATACCCCCCCCCCCCCCCTCAGTTCTACAAACTCCTTTCGTGGACCACATGCAATCACTACTCTATTACAATGAATAAGAACGCCGTGGCCAAAACAGACGAGATACCAAAAAGCAGCACTCCCCCAGCACTCGATCCGGCACCACGCCCACTCGCACACTTTACATACGCTGTATTCCCAAACAAGGAGAAAAAGAAGAAAACACAAGACAACGGTAATCTACCTGCCATTGAGGTCCATCTAATATGCCTCGTCGTCGAGTCGTCGAGTGTGCTCCAACGCCAAATATGTAACCCGTCCTCTCCTCTAAGCATACTGACGTCTGTGAAGCGTCAACCGTGGTCCATTTTACAATTTGACGGACGGTCAAAAGCATCGCATCTCAGAGAGCGAAATGAATTTTCAATTGACATTGCTGCACCATTCAGTTTTCTATGCCATCAAACATAACGACCGTCTCATCTCCTGACAACACAAAATGAACTTTGTTGTGAAACACATCATTATGCCAAACGACCATCTCATCTCCAGAGGAGCAGAGCACCTTCCAGACACGAGACCGAAGTCAAAACGGACATCCTATTTATATAGATCACACCCAACAGGACACATTGCTACCAATTGGAGAACAACTGAAAGGAGACAGACGGGGAATTGAAAAAAATGATGGCCGACCTGAAGAACGGATGATTGAGACGAGAGGACGAATACGAAGCACACACCCAACTGGGCTCATTGCTGCCCATCGCAGAGGAACTGACAAGAGACACGGACAGGGAACACACGAAAAAGATGGGCCACTTGAACAATTAATGATTGAGAAGAGAGGACGACGAAGAAGCCATCAACGAAGATGGCACAAAGCCAAGGAACGCCCCTTCTTTATGCCTGAAACAAGCCTCGAAAGAGAGAAACATGAATTGCTGCCTATCGCAGAAGGACTGACAACGGAGCCGGACAGGGAACAGCAGAAAACGATGGCCCACATGAAGAACTCATGATTGAAAAGACAGGATACCACAGAAACCTTCATCAATCAATCAAGGACAAAGCACAAAGTCATCAATCAACCCTTCTCCATGCTTGAAACAACCTCGAAAGAGAGAAACAACATCACGGACATGATGGCAGGGAAGGAAGGGCCACGAGCCAGCCATGGGGGACGAAGGCAAGGCAGGAAGGATTTGTCTGCACGCATTCGAGCAAATTATACTCTTCTAAATGGCTGTGGATTTCACGTAGCCTTCCACGTAACCAGTACCAACACACAATGGGATCCTATGTAAAAAAAACTATCGCGCCCGTTACCTTAATATGCCTGGAGCATCAAACTTTGCCAACTGGCCTCCCTCTCCGCAGCAAGGAACCTCTAACGACAAACAAAGATGACACAGCTAAGCAATCAACAAAACAATCCACGTCCACCTCCTCATATCTCAACTCAAAGTCCCTCAACTGGCAGCAACAAACCTTCCACGTCCACCTCCTCGGATCTCACCTCGAAGTGTCCCTCAACGTCTCACGGACATATGAGCTCAAACTTCCAAAACAGTCACAACAAAGGGCAGCAGAGCTCAGATCTGCGCTGAGTTCTGCTGCTGCCAGTCCACCACGCTGCACAACTGTGGCCAAAGCTTTTATTTATTGTATACTAAAGACTCTCTTTAGCTTCACCACGGTGCGCCAATCATCATCAGTCATCTCATGCTGCAATCAAGACAAGAAGAAACAACAAGCCACAAAAAAATTGAATCCACTCGTAAGATGATGCCTCAAGGTTGGCATGAATCAGAGAACACAAAATACACAATACAGATTACAGAATACAGATGCTGGAAAGACAGAGAGGCTATTACCCCTCTTCTCAAAGAGGAAAGGGGAAGATTGGGGCATCATGCCAGAGGCTGCAACACCGAGAACAGTTTCCGCATACAAACCTCAAAACCGACAAACAAACCAACCGGTGGACTGTTTTACATCACAGCAAAACATTATTACAGCCATGAAGTGATGCAGACAAGTTGTTAAACCATTGCCTTGGGCAACAGAATAGAGGATAAACAGATAGACTGCAGATGTCGACACAGGAGAAAACAGAATAGAGGATAAACAGATAGACTGCAGATGTCGACACAGGAGAAAGCAGAATGTTTCTTCTTTTTTCTTGCAACAATCACCACCACCCTTCATTTCCAAAACTCTTCGCGATGCAAACATTGCACATAGGCAAGCCCTGCACCCAGAACACGTTTCGAGAATTTTAAACTAATCAAGCACAAGTGTAGCCCAACCTGGTTTTCAGCAATAGCAACACAACCTGCAATTCATCCATGCTTACCAAACAACAATGCTGGACGCTCAATCACAGTTAAACCACCAGTACTTGGCCCAGCTATCAGCCACGGAAAAAAAAAAAAAAGAGTAGAAACATTTCTAGTCGGATGAATTTGCGCGCTCCTAGTAGCCCGTACGTTTGCTAAAATCCCGGCGCGTTCACGGGCACGACTCTAGGAAGCACTGGTGGTTTAAGATCTTCACAATGTGCCATCGCGTGTACTGGGGTATGTCACGGCCCACACCGAAACCCGGTCTTGCCCAGAAACCAGAGGTATCTGTTGTTACCTTTACCGCTCTTAGTTTGTTCGCCTTGACCTTACATCCGTATGGCGATCTCTCCACTCTCTTAGTTTGCTCGCCTTGAACCCACACTACACACACACCCCTTTCCTGTAACACCTCTACACCCTCTCACATCTAGTAGATCGACCCAGCCTCACTCAACTCGCCCCTCAACTATTTTGCCCTTGCTTCTGCCACCCTCATTCCCGTGTTTTACTTCTTTGCTTCACGGGTTATTCCATTTACTCCGGCACCTCTCGCACACCCGACTTTTGTTCCATTAACTCTGGGCCTCTCTCTCAATCCTGACTTCCGTTCCATTTACTCCAGCCCCTCTCTCGCTCCCAACCCCTCTTTGCTTCATGAGTTATTCCATTTATTCCGGCACCTCTCTCACACCCGACTTTTGTTCCGTTAACTCTGGCTGGGCCTCTCTCTCAATCCCGACTTCCGTTCCATTTACTCCAGCCCCTCTCTCGCTCCCGACCCCTCCACCACAACAACTTTCTACCCCTGGCTCTCTCTCTCCTTCAGCAACCTATAGCCAGCTTTGGCAAAACCAAACCACTTCATCAACTTATACCCCACAACGCTTTTCCACCCCTGGCTCTCTCTCGTCTGCGGCCAAGCTCGTTCAACGCCACCCACGATCACTTGTGGCAGGAGCAAGAAACCCACAGAAGAATTATGCTCTATCATCCACAGGGTTTCAACCAGGACGTGACATCAAATACATATCATCATGGGTTGCCAACCAACCACATCTCAACATCCCGGCACCAATCGAATGGAGTAAGCAGAGCATACCTTGTAGTTCTCCTTCAGTACATCGATGGATTTTCGCGATATTCGACTGACAAGCAGATCGCTGTGATCAAAGTGCCGGCCATAAATCTTCTGAGATTCTTCCGCATTCTGCCCAACAATCTGCACCAACCAAAAAGCCACCAAATGATTCATATCAGCTGTTGCAAAGCGCAGCGGCAGACGACGCAGTGCGAACCCCTTGTTTCACGCATATGCGGATGTGGCAGTTGAAGCACACCAGCGAAACGTACACTCAAAGAGCAGCCAGTACCACCCATGGCTGCATTCACGTTGGCTGAGCGCAAAGAACGCCTACATATCTCGCCGCCTACATACCAATCGACTAGAAGATCACCACCAATGACAAGCTGCAATGGATGGACTTTCACTCTCCGGACTGACTGGCAACCATACAGACAACCCAAGCATAACACAACTCTGCAAAAGTCAGTGTGGGAAGAAAGGGAGGATGTGGACGCATCCATAGCTAACCAAATGCTGAACACTGCACACACTATGGGCTTTTAGGGGGTCTGTGTAATGAATTGCAGCTCTTGCACAACAAACGCAATCACGTCCTGCGCATCCGTAACAAGCTTCAGTGATTCCCTTGTAGACAGCACCCTAACGTTATCAAAATTGAAACTCAGCAACACCTTTTCAGGATGACATAATCTGATCAAAGTCTCTGCCTCGTCAAATTTTATTTTAAACTCAGCAAGCACCTTTCTGGAATGATATCATCAGGTCAAGACGATAGTCAGCTACCTGTTGTCCAACAAGAATCCACAACTCAAAATGCACAGGACCACCTCCACAAGCACACACGGCTACAGACACAAACATATACAGAGATTTTTTTTTTTTAAATGCCCACAGACCCGCTTGATCACATTCTGGCCCAGAACACACGGCTACAGACGCAAACATATACAGATTTTCTTTTTTTTTAAATGCCCACAGACCTGCTTCATCACAATCTGGCCCAAAATAGACAAAAGAACCCACCTTTATTGCCACGGACTGCCCTTTCTTCGCAGTGTCCACAAGCTTGTGATTGACCTCTATGGATGCAATCCTGCCAATATCAATGAATTCCTTCGACGGCACAGACAACGGAGTACCAATCTATACACACACACACATAAGACAAAGAGGGTTCAAAACAACCAACCCATACACTTGAGACTCACAAAATGTCACCAAGCAGACACGAATTCACTTGAGGATTAAACAGAGGAAAGGAAATTGGAAATTCACTCTATGTAACTATCAGGGTAACTGCAACCACTTACGATGTAACTTTTTTCTTTTCTTTTCTTTTTTCTTTTTTCTTTTCTTTTTTTTGTTCACGATGTAACTTGATGATTAGAAAGTCAGAAAGCATATACCAACCCACTCAAGAAGATTAGAAAGTGCAATCGCAATTACAAACCTGATAATTGAAAGAAAAGAGCAAAAGCACTTGCAAAGCTATCACTCACACATTCAGTACAGTTAGGCCGCATCTCTCACCGACGGCACTCACACATTCAGTACAGTTAGGCCGCATCTCTCACTGACGGCATTTTCCATTCCTCTCCGTGGATTCCATCCACTTTATGGGAGAACAGGAGTCAGGCCCACACACTTAGGCATGAATTTACCCAATAACAGCGCTGTTGAGTCTTCTTCACTCATCTAAACTACAGCCACTCGTCTAAGATGGGTTTGCTCTTCCAGTTGGGTCATTCCCCTCGGCAAGCTGTCGATTATCCATGTCATCCTCAGAGGTATAGGTCTGGGCAGCTCAAGTCCTAAAAACAAGCTAGAGGGTCACACGATATATATGGCAGAAGAGCTTGAATCATTTCTCGGAGTGGCAGCAAATGATTGTTTGCTTAATCGTGGTCATGACACAGACCCCCCTCGTACACACCCTGTACTTTCTCCCTATCTAAATCCTGCACCAATCATCTTTCCACGTGCTAATTTTCAAGATTTCGGGTGTTGGCCACCTCACTGACCGTAAAGATGACCTTCAAGCATCTGAGTGTTATATCGGCTGGGGGGGGGGGGGTATCGGTGTGAAGAACTTCAGGTAACCTAACGGTCGCCCACATACTTGCTCAGCAGACTCTAAGCGCCAATGCATAATGCATAGCTGGATTGTCAACTCGTAAGGCCAAGATTTCCCAGCAAACACGCCTGGGCAATTTCCCAACCAGTGTCCGCAATTGCGATTTGATGGAAAAAAAACTGAAAATGCGCAGATCAAATTTTAGAACTTGTCCACAAAGGTGACACTCAGGTCAATAAGCATTAGGTCAACAAGCTTGACAACAAAGGCCTTGCCGACAAAAGAGTTCCTAACAATAACTTTTCCACTGCCTCACCTTTTACAGGTTAACGGCTCTCTCTCTCTCTCTCTCTCTCTCTCTCTCTCTTTCCCTCACACACACACACACACACACACACACAAGTTCTCCCTGTCTAAGATTTGCTGTCGCTGATTGAGCTGCTCTTCTTGATTGAAAAGGAGAGACCCAATCAAGCAGTCTATGTAATGATAGTTTTGCTTTCCTGCCATGCTGATCGGTACGAGAACTTCTCCCCCGATGTTCACCACCATGTGAATATCACAAGATTCTTCACGACACGATGCACCACCCTGTGGACAGTCTAGATGTCCACGTTTGGAAGGTGTACAGGTTTATTCACTGTCCACTGTGAACCCCTCGTCTTCGCTTATCAAGAAAAGCAGGTCCTTCTTGACCTGGCTCCCTAACGAATCCATGACTCCACATCCACCCTAGGGAGCCATATCCACCCTAGGGAGCATTGGTCCAGTTGCCACCGGCTAGCTGGAGGCAATCCATACAATGACCCACTCACGCTTGCATCCGTCCAGGTCGAGAGACCACTGANCATTGGTCCAGTTGCCACCGGCTAGCTGGAGGCAATCCATACAATGACCCACTCACGCTTGCATCCGTCCAGGTCGAGAGACCACTGAAAAGCATTAACCTGCTGTGAGACTGCCGTGTCTCGAGGGGGGTTTGACTGGGTCCTCGTTCGCTGTGCCATCTCTCACACCTCACTCCACTGTTATATAACACTCTCCTCTCTTCCACCAGTCTCTTTACTATGTCTCAGAGCCAGGATGTGAGTACAATGATGAGAGCTCGAGCAAGACGAGGAGGAGAAGACAGTGAGGATGACAAAGGAGGAAGAAATGTGGAGGACGAGGAAGAGGAGGACGTAGAACACGCGAAGGAGGACAAGGACACAGAGGTGCCCATTGTCGCTGGGGGTACTGTTAGACGTTCATTGCTTACCATTCAGAGGATGGAGAAGTTGGAACAAGCTTTTCCCGTGGGTGAACCCTCTGAAATTGACAAAATAAAAATAGAAAACATATACAAAAAGAACTATAAAAGAATGGGAAAACAGCAACACATAGCACCCGTGGGTGGGGAGGGAGAGCAAGCCGGTGAAGAGTAGGATGACCAGATGAGCAGGAGTAAGACGAGGAGGAGGAAGAAGTAGGATGACCAGATGAGCAGGAGTAAGACGAGGAGGAGGAAGTAGGATGACCAGATGAGCAGGAGTAAGACGAGGAGGAGGAAGAAGAACACAGCCACGTTCGCATCTTGGGCAACGACAGCGAGCACCTTAATCTGAGGGGTGCAACTTTCCAGCATGCCCCTGTGGCTCCTGGTGGCACTTGAGGCCGTTCCCCTGGCCCTGGGAGGGGAGCTAACGGGACATACTGGAAATTTGGAACCGGTACCGGCATGGGCATATTGAACATATTTCAGGCCCAAAGGACTCCAGGGGTTTTTCCAAAACTTCAATCGTTTCAGAGGGGCGCGACAGGGTAAGTCGGCAACGGAGGGGCATACCGCAAATAAATGGAAGTCTAGGGCTTTTTTTTTTTTTTTTTTAATCTCCCCCTTTCCTTTTTTTTTTTTTTTTTTTTTTTAATCTCCCCCTTTCCTTTTCTTTTCTTTTTTTTTTTTTAAACAGGTCCTTATGGTCCTGGCTCCATATCCATTCTGGGGAGCGTCAGTCCGGTTCCTATTCCCCCGGCAAGTCACAAATACATACAATATGGTACACACTCACGCTTCCTTCCGTACGGCAGAAGGAACCAAGTCTAGGGCATTTCAAAATTTTCCCCCCAACAAAAAAAAAATCCCTGCCCTGCCAGATGCTGGGCAGGGTCGAGAAGAATTTTTGCCACATTTCGGTTGGCAGCCCTGGACTTGACGGAACGTCATGGGTGCCCAAAGAAACATTTTGGCCATTGGTTTATTAGGGCCTCCCTTTCAGACTGGGATCCGGATACCAGGCTCCGGACAGTCCAGATCGCTACTATGTTTAAAATAATCACGACGAACCCCTTGATTTTTTCGGGCCAGAGCCTAGGACATTACTTTCAAACAAGGAAACATGAAAACAAACTGCGCCCCCACCAAAGAGGTCCAGAGTTATTATAGAGAAGAATGGTCTTATTGCTACGCCGCCCGCAGGAAAGATGAAGTAACATCTCCTAAAAACAACACTACCTTTCACAGAACCTCAGATGTGCTGTCAGTTTCCACCGCACGGCAGAAGCTAGCCAGACCCTGATTACTCGACTTAATAAAGGTCAGGAATCAAAAAATATCAAACAGTCAGATAGACCAATCTGTTCTCGGGTCAGAAAAAATATCCAACAGTCAGAGAGACCGTTCTGTTTTCGGGTTTTCAAAGGCACGCCATCGCACTGAGAGGAGATTCATCTCATGCCATTACGGAGATTCATCTCATGCCATTGCAAACCAAGTGTACGTAGAGACAAAATGAACCGGTTGTTACAATAAAATGTGATAGCATGGACCAAGGCAAGGAGCAACCAACCTTGACAATTCCTGACATGACTTCCACCCCAAGAACAATTGGGTCCTTCTTGTTGAAGATACATGTCGGCAAAATCTTGAGCTCACAAGGGAAGACAACATCATCCGCAGCTTCTTTCCTTTTTTCCTCCCTGACATTTGCCATGTACGCATTGAACTGCAGTGTGGGACACATACAGGAAAGATCAGCACATCTTTTAATCCCTCATCCACATCCTCGTCATCATCATCATCATCATCATCATCATCATCATAACCAGCACCACCACCATAAACACCAGCATTGCAATGCCATCATCTCATCAATACCATCATCGCGCCCACAAACAGGACCATCACAGTGTCGCACAATTGCAATAAATTCCCCACAATACATAAGAAAGCTTGAATAAGAAAACCACCCTTGCAAATCATAATGGCAGGCTAGACCTGGTGTGCAAACCCCCCATTCTAGCCTTAAATCCTTGCCTAATCCAAGCCACAACTTGATTACGAGGAAACTGATTGGAAGTTTGTGCCTGATAGGGTAAAGCATCTAGAGATTACGATAAACGAACTGATGCAAAAGTCAACAACCGAAGGTAGTGAGCTGAAGCAGACCTGGTCAAAAAGATGATAGATAATGTCTGCCGTAAATATCCTCACGCCTAAGTCCTCTGCCATTTCCTTTGCCTCCGGAGTCACCTGGGGACACAATAGGCAACAATTCAGTACAAAATACGCTTCAAGCTGCCAGAAACGTAACCGCATGGAACCAAATGCCCAACTTCCTGATTGCAACCACGGCCACCAACCATCAGTTGGTGATATCCATAAGCAACTGATGAAAATCTTTGCTGCCACAGAGAGGATACCAAAATGTTCCGGTAATTTCCCTTTTCTTTTTCTTTTTCTTTTTTTTTTCTTCTTTTTTGTGGGGGGGAGGGGGAGGGGCAGCAGGGAAGAGGGGAGGGGAGACGGGATGGGAGAGAGATGATCGGCAACATGGTCTCATCACCATCATAACGGAAAACAGGTTCCTCTAACCTATCCTTTGATGCATCTGCTCAAACAGTTGTCCCTACTTGTCCTTATTGTTCCCAAAACTTTCGTTAATAATGCTCAGGCGTTATATTCAGTAAGGTGGTAGCAACTTCAGGTGTGGCATCACAATGAATTTTAAGAAAAAATTGTAAAAAAATACGTTGATTACGATTACAATGCAGCCAACTTCTGTCTTAGGTCACGTCAGAATTCTTTACAAGTTCAGAAACAAATTTCAAATCCAAAAACAAAACGAAAAATCCAACCAAAACATATCCCTTGGAAGTCTAAACCCCTATCAACCCCCTTTAAAACCCATGCATACTCCCTCTACAAGGCACTCCCTCTGCAAGGCACTCTGCCCAAGGCACATTAAAATATGACACCTGCGTGTTCTATAATTCTATTAGAATATAATGCCCGGGGGCCAGGGTTACCAGCGTTCGGGATGGGCCGAACGCCCGAACCCGAACGCCCGAACGTACCCCTTCGGAAGGCGTTCGGCCGTTCGGGCCGAACGCGGACCAAAACAAAAAAAAAAAACCGTTTTCAAAAAATTCCGAAAAAAACATATGTTATGGAAAAAAATAAACTAAACAACATTTGCCTGGGCACCACATCCAAATTCTTTACCAAATTTGAATTAAAAACCAAATACAGAAAATAAACACTATGATAAAAATAAGAAAAAATAAAAAGAGAATTAAAATGAGTGAGTGTGCCAGCACCTTTTGGACACCGCCATCTTTGCCGATTTTTAATTTTTTTTGGCATTGACAAATGCCCTGAAAATTTACAGATATGTAGTTTGCATAATCAATAACTCGTTAAAAAATTCTCAAAAAATAATAAAATTTTGTAGGCCCCGAAATAAAGTGAAAACAAAAAGTTCAAAGTGAAGAAAAACAAAATAGTGAGTGGGCGAGCACGTTTTGACACCGCCATCTTTGACGATTTTTAATGTTTTTTTGGCTAAGCAGAATGGCTTCAAAATTTATAGGCGTGTAGGTTACATCATAGAGAACTCACAAAAAAACATTCAGAAAAAACAGTGATATAGATGAGATCAAGCAAGCTCATCATCCGACATGTCACTGTCAAACAGCCGCCATAACGACACACACAGCAATCCAGCTGGCAAACAGTGATAGAGATAAGATCAAGCAAGCTCATCATCCAACACTCCTGTACCCTAGTTGGTCCGCACAGTGACGGAACTTGCAAATTATTTTCCAATGGTTTTACTCAGCATCCGACATGTCACTGTCCATTCAGACACACAACCTCACCTTCACATCAAACGCCAGGATGGTTGCGTACTCCTTTTTCTTTCTTTCTAACATCACACCAGCACGCATTACATCCTTCTTGTGAACGGGCCCAATACTTATTCCACTGACCGGAATGTTAACCTGCCACAGAGTCCAGAAATACAACAAGGCAACACCCACCAGGTCAGGCCACATAAGCAAACTACAATGGCAGACAAAACAACCTTTCCAGAGTCTACATAAGGAAGGCCAACTTCCTCCCGCACGCGCATATTCCTCTAGAAAGCCAGGAAGCTAGCAGATCAAAGAACCCAAAGAGATGTAAACAAAGGGCTCAGACTATATTCCGAAATTTCTGGCTGCTGCATTGGATCCATACACCACAATCAGAGACCTCGTCCGGAGAGCATCTGGACATAAGTGGGACCGATCGAGGACCCAGGGGGAGTTGAAACAACATGCCTTTGCTCGGTTCTCAAATCTGGCTCGGATTTTAAATCTACCCCCGGCAATAAATTTATACGGCCTTCAATTACTTTTCCGAAGTTATGAGAGATGGTTATTCAGAGCAGATTGCTTAGCTCGGTAGCCGGTCGAATGCTCAGTTGTTTTATGTTCTGCTGTCTAATCCGGGGTTTATCCCCTCAGGGGTTCGTTTACCCATAAAGCCAAACCGGGTAATGCTCCCAGCATCCAGGTTTCATTCCAGGCAGGCAGTGAGGACCCCTCAGGGGTTTGGTTCCCCATAAAGCCAAACAGGGTAGTAATGCTCTCCTCACGGGTTTGGTCCCATCAGGGGTTTGGTTCCCCATGAAGCCAAACCGGGTAATGCTCCCAGCATCCGGGTTTCATCCCCATAAAGCCAAACCGTAGCCCCGTTTTTACGCTTGTTTTTCTATTAAAAAAAATAGGTGCAAGTTTTACTTATGTCGACCATCCCCTTGTGCATTCCGTATCCATTTATGACACTAGACCCTATAGGTGTTCTGATCACCCCCGTACGCTTTTACCAGACTCCAACGACACATCGCCAAGGTGAAAGAGTAAGCAGTGCCCCAAGGCTAACGAGCCACCTTCAGAAGCACATCATTGTATTGAGATGAAATTGTGTAATCTTAGCAACCGATAGCGGACAGTGAGGAGGCCAAATGTGTCCACATGTTAAATTGTTATCATCACAGCATTCTCCTGTCCATCCACCGAATGGGAGAACGAAAACGGGTATGGTACAGAATATCCATGCAACCACCGTTATCATATGGGCTTTGATTGCATGTAATACCATGAACAGTTCCTCGACAGATGATACCCGCAACGCATACTAACCATTGGAATCCTGTGCTTCTAAAAGGGCCAGAGGGTTACCGGTACCTGTCACACTTCACACTACCTGGAAGGGGGAAAGGATCCGACGACAACAAACAGAGACCGCAGAGACCATGATACTGGGGCTGTCGGTCACAACAGCAGAAGCGCAGTTCGCACATCGGGGGTTCAAATCCCTCTTCTTCCAGTCATCGGTCAAGCAAAGCTTTCAATCTCAAGCTTATATATATATATATATGACACGCTACACTTGAATCCTCCAATCCCATTATGAAACAACGCCTTTTTAACAGGAGAAAAGGGATCCGAACCCTTGGGCAATGGTTCTAGAGACAATTGTTCTACCCTTGGAACTCTTCATTCGGCTGGAAGTTCAGACTAGCATCATCCCGTCTTTGGATATCTAGCGCGCAGATGCTAAGGCCTAAGTCACCAGTCTGGTTTTTGGTCCTACCCTGCCACGAACTCGCAAGTCCGAGCTACTTAAAGAAAGGCTGGCATCACAAGGCAAACCACAAGGGCAATCAGGCAAATCACTCGTTCCACCCCTTTGGGACGAATTGGCGCGCGGTGAAACTCTGCATAGGGAAAAGGAGGCTCCGAGGGACAAAGCAGTTTTTAAGTAACTCCCTAACAAACATGGGCTCACATAATTTTCTGACAAATCATTCCCCATAGTTATGAATGACAATAGGTGGAAAATACACAAACCTCTGGTGTCTTTAAGAACTCAAGCAGGGCCTCGAGTGAACCGAGCGTTGAGGCCTGGACACACACTCCTTCTCCGCTTTTGTCCACCTGGCTGAGAATGCTGGCCATGTCCTGTTGACAACAAAACACAAGCGACAGTCGATTACGCTCGAAAATTAGTTCAGAGAGCTATAATCACCATGTTGCAAAGAGCTACATCAAATATACAACATGTTCCCTATCCACAAAGCTTGAAGGACCAGTACACGCCAGCAATCCGCCCCGGCCCCTTTTCCAAGGCCATCCGCCGCCCATTTACTTTATCAACAGAGTGCGAGCCTCCGAAATTCCAGGAGAGGCTCAATCGGATTTTCGACCCGGCTGGGGCCATGTACTGGTGGTTTAAAATTCTACTTTTCTGGCAGGCGTTCTGAAACACCGGCCCATTCCAAGACCATTGAAAGATGTGAAAAAAGTCTACTATGCGAATCCCAGTGCGAAGTTGGGACTCAAGCTTTCAGCCAATTGTCAAGAGCACCAGGACTTCGCAAAACTACCAATCCGCATGCCGCCAAGATACAGAAGAGTCTGTCCACTTTCAGTCATTAAAAATTGCCGCTCAGCTGAAAGCGTCAGGATGGAGCCTTGGCTTTCGTGAAAGGCTGATCCTCGATTAGGGTGCATGACAAAAGCAGTGCAACTGGGTTCTAGATTGCTACCCTGCACGTGTCAGAATATAGCCGATCTGAACATTCAGCAGCAGACCAAGCCCCTCCAGATCAGCACGTCTTTCTGCAATCTGCTGGCTTTTGACCTATCCAAACCAGAAGTACCTTCCCCTTTCGCCTATCAGATGTTTATTACCACCACAATGCAGGAACCTCATAGAGCTTCATTTCAGACCTCCCTGTATTTTATGTTCACCTAATAGATGGCATCACACATACTCCATTTACTACATTTTCATTCTGCAGTGCACAAACAGGCCATAGCCTGATGTTGATGCTTTTCCCCTCAACCGTTTCCATGGTTCACCTCATTTTTGTGTATGGAAGACTCCAACACCCTAGTTGCATTGCAATAGGGACGACGTTGTCCTCGGTTGAAACGGACAATACAAGGGCAGCACGGGTGCGAGATGCCCCGGTTGAGATAGTATAGAGAGAGAGAGAGAGAGAGAGAGAGAGAGAGAGGCAAGTCGGGGGGAAAACACTGTAGTGAGGGCATTCAGTGCAAGCAACCATGCCTCCCTTGCGGAAACAGATGGTGGTGTTCGTGAAAGCAATCTGAAAAAAACCATTATTTTCTTTGCCCAGGCAAGATAACCAGATTGACATAATACATAGAAAGAGATAGACAGAGGGACATAGTACATAGAAAGAGATAGAGGGGCGATGAGGGGAGGATTTCACCCAGACAAGATAACCAGATTGGCATAGTACATAGAAAGAGATAGACATAGACAGAGGGGCAAGGAGGGGGAAAACACACTAAGTGAGATCATTCAGTGCAAGCATTCATGTCTCCCTTGCAGAAACACATGGCAAACTAAGGACCACAGCCCGCTTTGGGAACACAATCAAAAGAATCCCATTTTTTAATGTCCCCAGACAAGATAACCAGAAGGGAGAGTAGTCACCAGGAGTGCACAACACATCACCCAGGATTGCACGACACAGAACCCACTTGAGCGGCCCAGGTCTTGAACCAGGAACAACAGAGGACAAACCAGGGATGCTGGAAATCTCTGGACTGATGCAATAGAAAACAGAAACCTCAGATCCATTTTTGACCCGGGATCAATAGCTAAGCATACACGTCCCTATCCCCTTGACCATACTAACTTATCTGCAATACCATAACCCAGCACACTGGGAGGGAATAGACAACCTACCTTCATGCACTCCTCCTTAATGAGATCCACGTCATCATCTTCCCCGACAACATACAGCTGTGTACCTGCAATTGCAGAGTCCAAATGCTGACAAAGTCCAAAAGTGTAAGCAGGTGGGACAGCAACAAGGAGCACGTCCAACGCAGTTTCCAACCCCACATAACGATCAACCCCCACTCACAGGGCAACCTCAACTGCTAAAAGCCACCATTCCCAAAACAAATGAAGAGAGCTGTATGCTGAGTTAACCTCTGGTCCTCTTCCATAGTTTCAGTTTTGGTTTTGTGTTCTTCGGACTCTACCAGCTTATTATTTACAACCAAAGTATATTTGGTCTTCGCATGCACATTTTGATTTATTCCATTCTATTCTTTAATTCCAATTTATGTTTTTGGTCTTCACTTACACATTTCAATTCATTCCCTTGTTAATTTCAAAATGTCCTTCCTTCCTTGCACGTTCGCCTCGATCCTTCTTCCCCAATAATTTTACAATGCCTTCACTTTATTTCTACTCCATCTTACATTTGACAGACCTTGGCAATTTCATATCATGAGCGCACAAACCACCGCAGTCCCAATGAGAACATTCATACCGCAGGACAATTCAGCCTTTCAAGGTCAGTGATAATTCAGACTCAAAGTACATGACGTATTGTGTTCATAGCAGCGCCATCCGACACCCAAGTCCACACCTCTGTAGATTGGAGGGCGCACCACCAGAAACCTCCCAGGATCTCAATTGATCTATCCAACTTTCACAGAGCTCGTTAAGCCTGGCAGATCCGGACCGGCCTAAGAAATGTACCATTCGCAATGGAATATGTCACAGACCTAAGAAACATACATACAATCCTGTCTGACAATACCCATCTCACCTAGTTCTCTCGACAGCACCATTTACTATCCACAGACAACTTTGTCTGACAGGACCCATCTCACCTAGGTCTCTCTAGAACACCATTTACTGTCCACCGAATCCAGCGAGCCTGTTTAGCATACTGTCCTAAAATTGTACATACAATGATACAACAATTCTACTGTCCATCAGCACCAATTCGACAGAGACTACATGGAGAACACACTACCACAGTAAGTTATCAACTTACCATGATCTGTCTCTATTTGTCACGGGTTGTGTAAGATACTTCAGCTTTCCACAATTATGGTTAAATAACGGGGAGATATATTTCTGATATAGTGAAAAACGTGATTTCATTCATGACAAAACAGTTACGTGAATAGAAGATCACGTTTTCCACAACTTCTGCACAGGAACGCAATGTCCTGTTCTTGAAATCAGTAGCTTCCCAAGTCACTCGGTCGACATCTCGAAACCACTTTCACTCTTGTCCACCCTTCATCACTTCCAATCCCCTTACCTTAATGCCCCAATGCCCCAACCAAGACTTCCATCCAATTACTTTTCCGCCCTCTGACATTTTTCTGGCATGCTTCCTGCAGTTGTGAGATTTTCTTCTGCTGCTTCGCTTTTCCCTTACACTTTTTCTCCCTTTGCTTTTTCTTACGCGTATGCACCTCTCGCCGTACAGCAGCCAAAAACACTTTCAAGCTGAGCCTCGTATTCCCTCACACAGAGCCACTGCATACAAGATGGCCCCCAATCTGGCACAACCTAGATGGGAATATCTAAAAGAGAAAATATACCCTCTCCTCTTCATTTTCCATCTCCTAACCGCACTTCAACCACCATATCAAACTGCACTGCAGCAGTTTATCATATGGATAGGACTGACTGAATACAGATCAATGCACATGTACCATTCCATCCAGAACCCGAGCCACAAAAAGTTCCACTTGCTTGTAACTCCAACTCACCGGTGCTGTGATCTTGATTCCTTGCGCTGCCTTCACTTCTTTATGATGAAGATAAGAGCCCTGATAACCAAAGACGAGTACGGGCGCAACTCAGATCGAGAACATCACTAGCCAACGACAACCATGCTGAAAAGTAAACCAGTTTTCTCTTCATATGACATCCGACCAGAACAGCAGCTTCTCTCAGGTGAATCTACATCTATTCACAAACACGTTCCTCTCTCTCTCTCTCTCTCTCTCTCTCTCTTTCACACGCACACACACGTGACAAAAAAACAAAACATGCTGCTCTTTGACTCACTTCATACAACACTTACACTCCCATCCCTCACACACACACACACACACACACACATGAGACAAGAAAAAAGAAAAGATGCTGCTCATCAACTCACTTCATCCAAAACTTAACACTCCCCTACCCAACACCTCATCCCACGCATGTTCGCCTCCCGCTCTCCTCCGCACCCCTTCCCCCTCAAAAAAGATAAAGAAAACTTCCCCCCCTTCCCTCCCTTCCCTTGTGACAATCTGATGACATGATGTACAAGGTTGGCAGTGTTTTCATTGTATTTTACCTTCACACGGAGTTCTTTCATAGGATGAGGTGTCAACAAGGCCCGAATGTTGGTAACTATCGGCCCTTGCAATCCACATACAACGATTTGGTCACCCTCGTGAAGAACTCCATTCACCAGCACCACATCGATTGTGGTTCCAAGACCTTCAATGACCTTCACTTCAAGAACTGTACACTGCATTCACAGAGACACGTCCAACCACGCCCACGTATTCATGGACAGTCCAAACACCTTCAAGCATGGCACAACCACATTCACTATGTGAGGCGCGTACAACTACCGTACTTCCTTCTTGAAACTCGGGCCAACATTTGAAGACAAAGAAAAGAGCACGTAACCATTGGAGCATCAATACAAAAGGCCAGCTGAACGGGCATAACGCTATTCTTGTTTCCCTGGACCAAAGCTAAAGAGTTTACAGGCCGACGCACCTCATTCACAATAAGTCCATCATATGTGGGATCACATCCACGAGTTCCTGTCCTATATCCCATCACAGTGCGCAAACCATATATCAACAGATCATTCCTCCCTCAGGAGGTTTTATTGCATTCTGCATCTGGATACAAGTGGATGAACAATTCACTTCCACATTTCCATCCTCCGGATGAAATCATTTCTAAATTTTCGTGCGCAAAAGAACACATGTCACACAGGGCCTGTGCCACGCATCCAAAGAACAAAGGCATACATAAATGCTATGAATGCCTGCCCAAAAGGCGCACAGAAACATACTTTTAATCGAAGTCCAAAATACATAGGCATACATAAGGGCTACGGATGCCTGCCAAAAGGTCGCACCGAAACATCCTTTTAATCACAGTCAGGGCACAATTCAAGTTAGAGCTGAAGGGCACTGTCGTGAATGCGTAAAGTCCTCCAGAAAATCGGAGAGAGCACATTTGCAAAAGCAACCAAAACAGCGACTAAATCAACGAACTAGTTAACAATTTAGCAGCAGCCGAACAACTCTCTCTCTCCCCCCCCCCACCCCACCCCAAAGAAATATGGCCGAAATAAGAACGAAATTAATTTTCAACAAGGGTACCTGATGCGGCTTCGCACGCAAATAAAAAAAAAAATGAATTCGAGTGAGGTTAGGGGTGGGGGGATGAGTTCTTGTTTTGAGACTGTCTGTTTACTGTGTTGTTTTCCACGAATGTTTATGATCAACCAATGCCGTACAGATGCCGTGTGGTTGCCTTCGGGACCGACGGTGCAGTCGGCATTTCCAGGATGCGGATGGTGCAACGGAGGAGCGTTGGTGGCAAGTGGGGAATGTGGGGGATGCAGGTTGAAGAAAACCCCTGAGGACGAAGGACTTTTTTCTTCCCCAAGAAACATGGCCAAAATAAGAACCAAGGAAAATTATTTTGCAAAATCAGGAGAACTACTTTCCAACCAAAAATAGAGAAATGCAACTACAAGAAATGACTTACACAGTCGTTGATGCTTAACCATAACCGGGGTTAAGGTGGATTATCACTTACAGTGTAATCAGTTAGGGGATTCTGCAGACTGTCGAGGGTTCAGCCTTCTGATCAGTCGGTGAAACTCCGACGGGTTTGTCACAGCCCCTCGTTTGTTGTCCTCTTCTCCCTATTTGCCTCTGGTTTGCCGGGCAGTTCTGTTTGACGAACTCGGGCACAAGCAATGCACATATATGTATGTATTATATACAGTTATAGTATGCCACCGCTCGTTTGTTGTCCTTTTTCTCCCTCTCTGCCTACGGTTTACCAGGCAGTTCTGTTTGACGGACTCAGGCATTAGCAATACATATATACAAGGGTACCTGTTGCAGCTTCGCTCGCAAGGAAACGAGGGGAAAACGGGAGAAATGAGTCGGGGTGGGGGGATCCGGGGTTTGGGGTCGGGCGTGTTTTGAGACTCACTTGTGTCGTGTTGTTGACTGTGTTGATACACTGCTGCTGGAGCTCTCTCTCTCTCTCTCTCTCTCTCTCTCTCTCTCTCTCTCTCTCTCTCGTCATCGTCGTCGTTTTGGGGGGTGGGGTAGTTAGTAAGGGGTCTCTCTCTCTCTCTCTCTCTCTCTCTCTCTCTCTCTCTCTCTCTCTCTCTCTCTGCGGTGCGCGCGTCGTTTCTCCTTTTATTTTTATTGTTTTTAACTGAACTNCTCTCTCTCTCTCTCTCTCTCTCTCTCTCTCTCTCTGCGGTGCGCGCGTCGTTTCTCCTTTTATTTTTATTGTTTTTAACTGAACTCCTGATGGTCCACGGGTCAGATATCAAACTGATCCGAACAGATACTAACCACAGTCGAGCGCGCAAGCGAGAGAGAAAGAGAGAGAGAGAGAGAGAGAGTGAGTGAGTGACAGCACCAACGGCCAACCACGGTCGCGCGCACGCAGAGAGAGAGAGAGAGAGAGAGAGAGAGAGAGTGCTTCACGGGGCGCTTCACAACCGGGCGCTTCAGAATAACAGAAGGGCGCGCTTCTCGACAACAGCAGAAGCAGTGCACGTGCGCGCCGTTTTTCCTTCAAAAAAAGGAAAAAAAGAACTCTTGATGGTCCACGGGTCAGATATCAAACTGATCGGAACAGATACTACACTTGCTCGTCATCGTCGTCATCCTTTTTGGGGGTGGGGTAGTTAGTTAGGGCTCTCTCTCTCTCTCTCTCTCTCTCTCTCTCTCTCTGGTGCACGCACGCGTGCAGGCGCCGTTTTTCCCTTTTTTTTTCCTTTTAAAAAGAACTCCGGATGGTCCACGGGTTAGATATCAAACTGATCGGAACAGATACCACACTTGCTCATCATCATCGTCGTTTTGCGGGGTCGGGTATTTAGTTAGGGCTCTCTCTCTCTCTCTCTCTGGTGTGCGAGCGTGTGCGCGCACCATTTTTCGCTGTTTTTTTTTCCCTTGTTTAAAGAACTCCCGATGGACCACGTGTCAGATATCAAACTGATCTCTCTCTCTCTCTCTTTCTCTATCTCTCCCTGATGCACACGCACGTGCGCGCATCGTTTTTCCTTCTTTTTTTTTTTTTTAACTCCTGATGGTCCACGGGTCAGATACCAAACTGATCGGAATAGATACTACACTTACTCGTCGTCGTTTTGGAGGGTGAGGTAGTTAGTTAGGGGTCTCTCTCTCTCTCTCTCTCTCTCTCTCTCTCTCTCTCTCTCTCTCTGTGTGTGTGTCTGTGTGTGTGTGGTGTGCGCACACGTGCGCGCGCCATTTTTCCTTTTTTTTTTTTTTAAGAACTGATGGTCCACGGGTCAGATATCAAACTGATCGGAACAGATATTACACTTGCTCGTCGTCGTCATCGTTTTGGGGTGTGAGGTAGTTAGCTAGGGGTCTCTCTCTCTCTCTCTCTCTGTGTCTGTGTGTGTGTGTGTGTGTGTGTGGTGTGCGCACACGTCCGCGCCCCGTTTTTCCCTTTTTTTTTTTAAAAGAACTGATGGTCCACGGGTCAGATATCAAACTGATCGGAACAGATATTACACTTGCTCGTCGTCGTC